CTGGGACATGGGGAGGTTTTGAAGCTCACTGTGGTACGTAGGTCACTGGACGATGAAGGTCACTGTCGGGCAGTGGTCACTGGTCAGTGGAAGTCACTATCGGGCGGTGGTCACTGGCAAGTGGTCACTTGACGGGAGTCATTGTGTCAATTGGTCACTAGGCGGAAGTCACTGAGTCAATTGGTCGCTGAGCGGAAGTCACTATGTCAATTGTTCACTTAGCGAAAGTCACTATAGGGTTGGTCACTGCAGTGGGCTGGTTAGTAAGGGTAAAATACTCCATTTACTCCTTTTTAGTCACATTTTTGGAAATTAAAAAAAAAGTCACTTTTTTGTCCATTCTCTATTTTTTAGTAATATTTGTGACAAAACCCCAAATAATTTTAGGGTTATAAGCTTAAAAATACTATAATCTTAATTTTTATTTAAAAATAAAAATCATTATAAAAATATTTTTGAATAACATATTTTGTGCTCTTTAATGTTATTTTATATTTTCCAGTCACCTTTCAGCTCTTTTTTCAAAATGAATATAGTCCATTCATCTAGCAGTTCAGATTCAGCACTTCATAATTCAGTTCCATACAATAGTACTCCCTCCGTCCCAAATTATAAGATACTTTTCGGTTTACGATATTTGACCGACGATAAAGCAAACGGATCCCTGTGTGCACTCAGACTAATTTTAGAAAAAAAGAACTACATATTCAGAAACTACATTAAAACCGCTACAAAACCTGCAAAAAATAATTCAAATTTCATAAAATTTTGATATATAAAGTAAGAGATTAAGAGTGATTTGTGTTGACCAAGTGAATTGTAAAGACATCTTATAAAATGGGACAGAGGGAGTATTTAATTAAGACAATAGCTCGCGATTCAAACATTAGTCTAAGCTCCAGCTCGTTGTACCCAGTGTAGTCAAAGTCGAGCGCATGGGCGCTCAACCGCACCCGGCGCAGCAAGATATTGTGCCCAGTGCCTAATCTTACTGCCTAAAGAAGTGATTAGGCAGTAAGATAATCTAATGAAGGGACCGGTGTTGGCAGTGATTGTGAAGGAGAGACAGATATACAAATGGCAAATCTTTATGGCTACTGAACAGATTTACAGTAGCAACGAGACTACGAAAGCTTGATGTACAACCATATGAATGGTCAAGATTGCATTTCTCATGTCATTGCAAGTGTAATAACTTGGTAAACACTATTTCCATCACGTTTAATTTTATAATACTACAAGAAAAAGACAATCCACTGATAAGTTGTCCTGAGGTCTTGGGGAAGCAAACAATTATCAGGCTATATGAATGTAGAGAAAAACAAAGAAAATGAAGTGGGACAATATGTTGATTTATTGTAGTTACGAATTACGATTTCAGAATTGAATATATGCAGGAGGGTACATAGGATACCAGAGCGATGATGTCTTAATTGAGATAAGTGGGAAACATAGAGATCAAGTCAACAAGTGGACCTAGGATAAGAGGCATGCTTTTGTAGAAGATGGGACCTCACAGATACCTTGTAGATATGCAATGTGTGCTATATGGATCAAGAATGGCAAGGTGCCAGAGTATGATTAAGTGGATTATGAAACCAGTATACTCTAATTATCTTTATAAGAAAGTATATGCAGGCTCAATCAAGCCTATGGCAGGTCATAATGAGGGTCACCTACTGAGAAAGAGCAACCTTTAGCTCCACTAGTTACAACCGAGCCAGGGAGACCTAGAAAACTGGAAAAAAAGACTTATTGGTCAATTTACATGAATAAATTGCCCAAAAGACTAAAACAATACCACTTTAATAAAAATGACTGCTATGTTTTTATTCATAAGATCCTGTCCATTAACTCATAGATAAAGAACATCATTAATCAAAATAAAGAAGATGATCACATACAGGTCATAAAAATTAAGCTAGTAGTCATGTTTAGAGAAACATCACATGTTTCAGTCGTGTGTACATTACTCTAACCAATGATGGTCTGTATCTATCACTAAGACCCCATTTACTTAGGACTTAATGAACTTAATGGAAATTGTGACTTAATCGGTAAGTTATATACTTCTGTTTACTTATGACTTAATTCAAAATGTGCCTTATTCGCTCAGTCAATTTGTGACTTATTCGTTCAGCCCGAATTTGGCAGCCCTTACGTTTCAGACATTCACTGATCTGCACGTCTCTTTTTTAACCCTGCTTCTAAGGGAACGGGCGACCTTTTCCTTTTCATAGCTTCACAGATACTCCATATAACATTAGCCAACAAAAGTCTAGCTAAGGAAAGGGGCGACCTTCACGGCTTCACCGACAACACCAGTCACTAAAGAAGCGTTGACCCTCGCCAGCCGGAGCTAGACACCAAAGAAATCTATCATTCTATCATCCCCTTCACCTCGGTATTTCCTTTCATTCTATATTGGTTTTATTTGACTTTTTTTTATTTGTAGAGTATTTCTTTAAACTGAGGTTGTGTGTTCAATAGTCTATAATTGTTGCCTTGTATATGATTTTTTTATTAATTGTTTCTGGATTTATATATATATCCAATTTCATACACTTAAGCATAGCCCTAGCCCTAAAGTTTCAAGCAGATTCTACGTATACACTGTTGAGCATAGCTCACACATACTTTCAAACTAATGCTGTCAAATTAGTAAAGTTTTACTTTTATTTGATTGAAATCCCTTACATTCTTCGTCCATGAGTATAGGAACATGATCGTTTAGAGCTTGACAGGTTTTTGAGCTATATTGGTTGCTTTTCCAAACTAACGTACTGCCTATCAAAATGTGATCGAGAACAAATTAAAGTCTGTGTAGATTACATTTTAATTTTTTAAATCAAAGAAAGTGGGAAGATTCCTATATGATCAGCACATCCAAAGCACTGAGTTTGACATTTTCTATTTTCTTAAGAAGAGCTATAAACACGAGTCAGTAATACAAAAATTAGTTATATTGATCAGGAAGAACGATGTTAACTTTTAGTCTAAAATTTGACACTTTCATACACAATATAATTTCTAGCAAGTTACTTTTCCAGTTTTTTCATACATAATGTTATACGAGATTTAAAACATAATTATGGTATTCGTCTTAGGATGGGGTTGCTGGTATCTCTTGTGGAAGGACGATTTGTCATGCTCAGGGAAGAAACAGAATCAGGCTGAAACATACATCAGTTGTTCAGGACTGAAATCATGTGCACAGTGCACTTGAAGAGTTGAAGACTTGAGGATATTGATTTTATGTATGTGAAGTGATTTAGAAACTGTAAAAGTGATTGTCCAGAATGAAGACAATGAGAAGCTATTTGTGGAAGAGAACCTGTCAAGCATTTGTAATGATTTTTCTTGTTGCTTTTATTGTCCAGAATTTGCAATAGGTATCCTAAATGAATGATATAATTTATCATTGAATATTAGTTGTACCTGTACTATTCCATCCATGTATTGTTGTGTTAATTATTTGTACTACTATGCTACTATATGTATGGTTGTTGCAGTTTAATCAATGGAATTAGCTTTGAATATTAGTTTGATGTCTACGAATGGAGCATTGCTGATTGCCTAAAAATGGACAGAATGTTTTATGAATATGCACTAGTTAATTTGAACATGTGACTGCTGCATAGTACATCCCCAAGCCACAAAACAAAGAATACATATTTGGAAATGCACCGTGTTCAAAGTATATCCCTGCATAAGAATTTGTATGAATATGCTTAAATTTAAAATGTTGTTCTCATAAAATTCTTGACTTTTTCTTATCATGTAAAATGACTTTTTCATGTAAGTAATTCATAGTATTATTATTTTCAGACATATATAATTATCTTTTAGAACAAGAAAAGTGAACAGAAAATATACATTCAACACTTAATCCAGACAGGAGGGTTATATTTGGTCATTTGACGTGATTCAGACTTCTAATTCAGCACACTTAGTAAACGATGTGTTATCTCAGTATCACTTAATCCAGACAGACAGCTTAATGCAGACAGACGTCTTAATCCATTCAGGACTTAATGGAAAAAAGTAAACAGCCCCTAAGGCGTGTTAAACTGCACTGTACAAAACGTAAAAGAGCTGGTCATAACACTTTGTATGTGGATATTAGTGCCCAGATTACAACATTCATATTTTTTTTTCAGTATTGCATTTTTTTTGTTTAAATAACAGTTTTGGTATTCTAATCTTCTGTAAGCAAGCCCACATTAAAGAAGCAGACGTCAAAAAGTTGCTAAAGGGATAAACGATGTTCAAGACACTTGAACCATTGAATTATTGTGATATTCTAGTCTACTGTTATGACTTTAGGCTTACTTTTTGGTCCCATATTACTAGCTACCTACGAAATATGCAAATCTTATATGTAAGCTTCAGAGTCATTTTTGGTAATGCAAATTTAATAAAATGCAAACTGATATACAATATTTGGCTTAAAGTTTTTGTAATGCATTTGGTAACATGCAAACAGTTGTGTCACCTTTGGCCTCATTATTTGTGCTGAATTTAAAATGCAAACTCATATGTAATAGTTGCCCTAGTCTTTTGTAATGAGGTTTATAATAGGCAAACAGATGTGTGCTTAGGGCTTTGGCCTCATCTGGTGATAATGTGATATGCACATGCATGTCTTGAAATTTCTTTTGCTGCAAAAAACTTGGTGTTAATAAATGCAATGGAGATTAATGCCCTCATTATTTATGGTATGGAATCCATAAACTAACTGAAGGACCAAGATAGAAAGGTTTTAAAAATCTAGTACCAACTATTGATTGTAAGTTTTAAAATCGGCGACTAAAACTCGTGAACATTAGTAGTCGAAGGGGAAAATATGGAATTTTTCATAAAGCTGAAATTCTGAACATTCATAAAAACAGGGTTTGAAATTCACCTATTTGTTTCAAAACAGACACAAACTATAAGCATCCTTCATGTAAAATAAAAATGTCATGATATACAATTTAGTGTGGAGAAGATAATGTTACCATCTTGCGGCATAGTGAGAGCCAGTGTGAAGGACATGATGGACATGACTCATTAAGCAGTCGCGTGATTGTAGTACAAGCTAATCGAGCAATCCTGCATAATCGCAGAATTAAAACTTACAATGGAACATAGAATGGCTATTTCACCAAACGAGAGAAAGATTTTGACTCTACAAGCTTTACTAAAATTATTATCCAAACTGACAATGAAAGGTCTTCCAACATAATAAAACCCGATACAATTAACACAACCATAATCACGCAACCAACTTACTCAGCATCAGTTTCCTCATCAAGCATATGGAACAATGCATCTTCTATTTGTTCGTTGATGACAGAGATCTATAAAAGAGTAAAAGACTATTAGCAAATGTGTACACATATAAGTATAATGTTTGGGAGAGATACATCTAGTGTCTTTTAAATGACCTCATTCTTGAAAAAAAAATTGTTGTGTACCCGGGGCATCACCATTTGGGGGGGGGGGGTTAAGTAGTGTCCCAGTCATGTACAGCATGCACAATTTACTTCTTTAGAGGTATCCATAGTTTACAGATCCTTGATAAAATGAAACATTCAAAGAAATTTTTGCATGTGAGAACAAGTTACCAACCGGGTCTTTTTCTATGAGATGGCGTACAGTAGACAGAGCAAGATACCTCAGTGTTGGCTGTAGCAAAATAAATCTATGAGTTTCACTATCCACATTGTAAATCATCTGAGAAACATATACCAATCTCAAAGGAGGGGGAGAATACCTGTCTTGAGGAGAGTGTAGGGAGGAGTGTCTGAATGTGGGAATGCACACTAACAGCATGTGGCGCAAAGAGTACTAATTGTTGAGTGAAGCGGACGTTCCTGCCAAACATCGCAAGAAGATTAAAGAAGAAAAGTTTGAAAAGTAAAACCAAGCAATAATTAAAAAGCTACGCAGAAGAGTTCCCCGCTCATTGTTTCTCAAGAAAAATAAAAACACCAAAATTGTACACACATATATACATATACATATATATATATATATATATATATATATATTTTCCAAGTGTTCTTACTCAAGAAGTGTTGATGTTTCTTTCCGGGAGCTTATCTCTGCAATGACAGACTGAAGAGAAACACAATTCAAGATTAATTTTTTTAAACATAAATAAGTTTTATATCCCTGCAAATATATCATTTCCATTTTATATCTGCCGAATAACATTTTGTTTTTCATCCCTACAATTTATGGCATTTACTTTTTATTTCCTCTAGGACTCTCTATCAAACTTTGTTTATAATAAGAAATAAATAGTTGACGTGGCTTAGAGAACTCCACTCTGACTTTTCCACATCAACATTCTATAAATCTAGTAGATCCAAGGTTAAGCATAAGGCTATAATTCCCATTTTAAAATTTCCCATTTTAAAACTACATCTCTATGGCTCTCCCTAGAAATAAAATACGGAGTATTTAGTATTTAAAAACACTGACATGAATAAACAAGAATGAAGTTTTGCTGGTTATAATGTATCAAAAGAGTTGCGTCTGATGTGGTAACTGAAATTTGATGGTGGCATCTTTGCGAAGAAGCGTAGAGTGGTTGAGCAATTTTACATAATATCTGGCAGACCATCAGTAATAACCTATGAGGCCCAAGAATCTCCGAGCACCTTTGCTAGATTTGGGTTGGGGCCAGCAGAACAAGCAAGATACTTGCACGCTCGGTAGCTCCTCAAAGTGGGGACGATATGCCCGAATTATTCCACCGAGGTTCAACTGAAGTGGCATTTCTTTTGGTTTTCCCTGAACTGGGGTTCCCAGCATTCCGTACTACATGCTAGTGCTTTAAATGGTCTTCCCAAGTGATGCTATAAAGATGAGAATGCCAACAAAGAAGACTAGCGTGAAACAGCGAAGGTAAGGTCAGGATATGTAGCAGGGTGCATTTGCATTGAAAAGTAGGGAGTGCATTTGCATGCCGAATGACAAAAGAAACTAATAGTGTGATGTGTGAGGCTGTGAGCACAGAAGGCTATTTTGACCACATCTTGGCTAACCGAATTTGAAGATATCCCGTGTGGAGACCAGTCCTAGAAAAGCAATCTATTTAGCTCATCAAGCATCTCGTGTATAACTGGGATCGGGGATTTATTGGCCACTATAACTTCGTTTAGATCACGCTAGTCAATACAGAATCACAAGCCACCGTTCTTTTTAACCAGCACGACAGGGCTAGAGAATGGACTAGAGCCAGGTTGTATGATAATTGACAAAGGCAGCACACATCATCCAAAACGGCATCCACATTTAAAATGATTTGGTGATCATTTGGCTGGAAAGAAGTCCATGAGGCTCTTCAAATTCAAGTATCTGATGGTGCTGCTGCAAAAAGTTGCAGAGTTGTGTAGAAGGTATGGCAGGAATCTAAAAAGGACACAATTAAAGTCAACATTACTCATTCTGAAAAGCAACTTGAGGGATAGTGGTAGTCAAGAGAGAGACGTGTCACCGACCACAAGATGACTGCTCTATCTTGATGGTCATGGTCAATGTCTCCCAAATTGTACTGATATCTTTCAAACTTTGGATCCAATACACTCCCAAAATCACGTACTTATGTATGCACCACCCAATGGAAAAGGATACCACAATCACGAGATGACTTCCCGCCTTGAAGGTCATGGTCATTTTTGCCCAATTTGTATTGATGACACCCAAATTATGGAGCCCATACGGTTTCAAAATCACATCCACACCACCCAACAGGAAAATAAACAGTCCACAAGCATTGTGATTTGCCCCAAATCAAGTGGTAATTGAGAGTACTTAGAGCCTGTACGGTGACTCTGTTTTTCGGCTTATCAAGCTTATCAACCAACTTTTTAACCAAAAACGTAACTTTGATTTCACATAACTTTTCTGGCTGTATTGGTTGAAGTTACTGCAGATGACCATTTTAACTATTTTTTCATATAATTTTTTCTTTATTTTATTAATAAAATATATTTTAAATATAATTTTTTCACAAATCAGCAGAATCAGCAAATACACCCACTTCAGCCAGAACATCATAATTTTCAACGGAATCAGACTATTCCGCCCATTTCAGTGTTACCAAACGGGCTCTTAAATTCAGATTGTACCCAACGAACATCTACCAGCAGGACTACAAACTTTTATGTGGCCACCGCCATTGTTTGTAATTGCTCCATATGGCGTCCTGCCGCCCTCAGCTATATTAGCTCCATATACAATACAAAGCAACTCCTATTTCCCGCAACGGGTAGTCTTACGCCACTTAGGCTGAAGAAATTCACCTGTGACAAGGTTAAACTCAATTATTTGGGCCCACATAAAAAGGGCAAATTTCACCTGATGTTCGAATTGACCCTGTGTTTCTTCTACGATCGCAATTAATTTTTTGCGATTATCCCTGTATTTTGTGACTCTCTTCTTATCTCTCGTGCACCCTCACGCTCTTGTGCTATTCTGCAATTTAAGCAAGGTCTATTAGGTGTTTTTAACTTTGTTTTTAAGTTTTTTCACATTGATGCCAGGTTAGATAATTGTTGTTTAATGTTTTTATTATCTTCTATTGTATTTGAATATGCTACGCACAATTGGATAATTGATGATACTGTGCATTTAAGTTTTCTCCGTGTAAATATGTTACGCAGTGTACGCACAGTTTCCCCCCTGTTAATACGCTACGCACAGTTTTTATTAATATGTTATGCGCGTTGATATTGTTTATATGCTAAATTTATACAAGGTTTCCCCCTATGCTACGCAGTGTATATAAACACAATACTCCCCCCCCCCCCTAAATATGTTATGCATCTTGATACTGTTAATATGCTGATATTATACAAGTTTTCCCCCTGTATATTTCTAATTAAAGTTTTTTTCTGTGAGTACTTAAAATACAAAGCATTATGCACAATGAGTATATAAGTGTGTGTTTGTAAATAAACTTTTTCCCTTTTAATATGCTGCCAAGGTGATCAGTTTATGAGTTATGGCCTTGTAATTGTTTGTTTCAGTATAAAGAAAAATCTTTTAGTGAAATATCTATTTCTTAATACTAGTATATATCTATATGTGTGTGTCCTCGCACTAAAAACTAAGGCTTGCACAATATTGAAAAGATGCCTCAAATACGCAATAATATGCAATTTCAAACATAGGCCTCTGCACGGGATGGAAGCTTGCTAGATAGGTTGTGGGAGAAGAAGTTGTGCCTAACACCACACTCAACCATGATGAGGAGTTGAGGACATCAATGTTCACAACTTGGTCCTGGAATTACATTCTCTACGGGCCATCTATTCCTCCCAATGGTACCATGGAAGTTAAAGCAGTAAAAATTGTGCGTCTCTGGGCGTTCTACTCTCGGAGCTTGTAGAATCTATTTTGCCATGTATCCATACATGGAATCATCCTTGTTGTCCTCTGCTGTGATGATGGCCTTTAGAGACTCATTGGGCATACATGCATTATACAACGAAAACATAGCTTTTACTAGCCTTCATGTCAATGTATTCACAGTTCAGGTATCGACAGCCAGCTTTTGTGGTGTTGAGATACTGTGAGACTGGGGAAAGGGAAGTCGAGTGGCCAGTAGAGTCACAATGTTTAAATATCTCTCTGGAAATGCATGGACAAGGATCTGTGCTGGTAAAGTTTAGAGAATGTTAACTTAGATGGGTCAATTTTGTTCACCCCAGTAGATGATGCAAGCCAAAATCCAGATACTCCTTTTTCAGCAAAAACCATCTACACCTTCCCATCCTGGTAATTGACCAATGACGAGAAGCACTTTCTCTCGCTCCACGGAGTGCCCTACCTCATAGTTGTTCGCAAATGGAGCACTTCATAGGGCCAAGCACGCACACAATCTCTGGTTTGGGGTCATTAAGGGACAACCAAGCCAAACCAAAAAGTTGAGCTACCCACCCGTGGAAGTACGCACATATTCGTTCACCATTCCTGTTAGTTGCAGACTTGCAACATTGATAAGTGTTCAATAGGGGAGCATTCTCCTAAAGTTCTGTTCTGAGTTGTGTCCAAGTGGGTGTTGGTCATTGCTCATTGCTATCGTAGCCATTGGAACCAATGCAGTGCTGGCACCTCCATGCTAATGAAGATCATTGCAACCTTCAAGTCATCCCGGGTATGTCATATAGCAAAGTATTGCTCTGCTCTTGAAGCCAACCAACTGGATCTTCACCCAGAAATTTGGGTATATCAATGTATGTATCTGATATGAATTTGGGGCATATCTGATGTTTGTGATGGGATAGGAATTCGTGTGAAGCTAAATTTTCTGCAGCAGTATCAATACACTCAACAATCATCTTCCTAGTTTCAGATTTTCCTTTGCTTTGCAGTGAAAGGGTGAACATCTAGGTGAGTCTCGCAATAGATGTGCACATGGGTTTCAGGTTGATTATCTCTAACAATTTGGGCATGATAAATATATTTGCTCCTAATCCAATTGCTTCGTACATGTTCTTAGCCCAATACTAATTAGGTTTAGCACCTCCATAAGACCAGATATACTTATAAATAGGATTGTAATGTACTTGTTCACATCGGAAAACAAAAGACTGAAAAGAGATAATGATAGGTTAAAAAATAAGACTTTGGGATAAACTAGCTGATAGATTTCTTTGTGTACTTTGGCCCAAGTGTGCAAGTGCCTTACAGCTAATTGAATTACTCTAACCCAATCCTGAATTAGGTCAGTACTCAAGACGTGGATCACATTTACATAAATTCTCTCTTCCATGGTTGCATGTCAATATATTACTTCTACATTTGTCGCACCATCTAATGATCTAAATATAAGTAACCTACCTTGCAGCGGGAAAAGAAGATACTTCGAGGAGCTAGTTCTGGACCAAGAACTGCAACAATAGCATTTATAAGGCAGCCCACTCCCTGTTGAAGCTCAATAGAGCCAATCTCGTTGGATAAAAGAACATCTGTAGCAAGGCCAAGTGTTGCCTGAAAAGATCATGAAAAGAAAAGATACTGACAAGTTTTCAAGAAACAGAAGAACAACTTTGAAACACTCAAACCTCTAGAAGCAACTCCAAAAACAAAAATGTGCAAACTTTGAAGCTAGTAAGAGTGAACTATCATAAGGCATTATGCAAGTCATAAACAATGCATTGAAAAGTATTATTAAATCTGTTAGTGCTCCAATCTTATATACTTTGACCAAAAATTTAATGCGTTGAGGCATTAGGGATTGAGGGAAGAAGAAACACATTAAAGAGCTTTAATCTAGTGCCCAAGGCTTGCGCATCAAGGATGGTCAAGGAAACCATACCCGTAAAGTCATATATAGTTTACAACAGTCCTGTTTCCTTTCAGGGAAGAGTTTGAGGAAACCATAATCACCATAGAATAACATAACAGAAGGAAATGAAAAGAATAAGCTTGGAGATTTGCTATATATTCCTAAAACGGGAGTTTGTGGATAATACTTCTTGCTAGGATTTTTTCATCACAAAAGTTTATTAGTTTAATAAAATTATATAATATTTAGAAATTTGATATACAAAAATAATAAATTCATGATATTTTAGGTCTTACATTGATAATTTACAATTTAGGGGTGTTTGTCGGTTCGGTTTTGTCGGTTTCGGTTTTATCGGTTTGGTTTTGGTCGGTTTCAGTTTTAGCGACTTTTAGAACAGGTGAAACTGAGAATCGCACCAGAAAACTTGAGTCGTTTTGATACGGACTTGAATTTATGGAAATAGAAGTGATAGAAATAATAATGAATATTCTAATAAGGTGTAAAAGGAAAGTGGGCTGGGCCAAGTAATTACTTAGATTGAGGAGAAGCCTCATTGAAAAAGAATAAATAGTAGGAGTAGAAATGGGAGAGAAGGTAGACTGGGATTTTGGGGAAAATTGGGATATGGGAGAGATAGAGGCCCTCTCGAATTGACCTCGTCTGTATTCCTCTTGTTTTATACAATATCAATAATAATTCTACTCCAAATTTCTGAGTATGTATCATTGGTATCAAAGCAGTGACGATCGATCTACCTGTCGAAGACCTTCAACCGATCCAGGATGGTGAAGCCATTGGATAAGATAGAGTTAGAGTGTGACCTAGCGGAGGTGCGTGCAGCAGTGAACGAGCTGCGCGACTTGCGCACATCGATAGAAGAGACGTGCAACTTACTCTTTCAGAAGTTTCGTCGGAAAACTAGAGGACAATCGAGAACAGTTCGTCGACAATTTGAAGACCATAGCTCTTCGACATCGCGAGCAGATTCTGTCCGATTGCAGATTTCATCGCAGGCAACTTGTCCTAAGTCGTCAGCTTCGCGGAAAGAAGAAGTCTCCGGTTCAGTCACAAACGGATTTTCCTCGTTCACCATCGCAAACTGTTTCTCCTGGTTTGCAGGTTCCGTCTACGTCGCGAGCAGTTTCTTCCCCTTTGTATACTTCACAGAAAACAGTATCTTTCCGTTCTCAGACTCTAACGCAAGCGGATTCTAACACGTCGCAAGCTGCACCGTTCCATTTGGAGTCCGTTAATAAGCCGCAACAGCCATCTGATGGTATTATCTCTCAGCGATCCAAAGAAATGGAAGAGAAGGAAATGAGTGTTGATGATGATCCTAGTGAAGTTCAATTTCAAATTGGCACTGAATATTAATTTCAGATTGACACTTTCACGTCTTATCCTGTCGATATTGGAGTGTATCATATGGTAGAACCGTAGAAGAGTTGATGCTTGCTGCTGATAGGTCAGTCTCTAAAAAGAGACTGAACAAGTATCCTACCTACTCTCTATTGAGGCTTTATCCCAGCCCAACCAAGGAGATGCTTGACTCCTTGCTCCCAACTGCTGTAGTTGTAGTAATGCTTGGTGAGGTACCGGCAGTTTCAGATGCTAGTGTCCTGATTAGAGAAACAGTTGCTTGCGTGCAGCCATTGTCTGGGCTCTTTAAAGCAACAGCTCGTGAACATATAAAATCTGGCTCTCGGATTGAACCTTCCAGATATGAGAAGGCAATAGATGTAACTGCTTTACAACATGATCTGCAATTGCTCCCGGGTGGTGATCTTACTGAAATGGGTGAAATAGGAGTCCATATTAGTGGAGGCCAGAAGCAAAGAGTATCCATGGGAAGAGTTGGTTATTCTAACTCCGAGGTCTACATATTTGATGATCCATTAAGTGCAATGGATGCTGATGTGGGCTTTTGGTAGACCATGAGTTGAGCAACAACACATCTGTGTCCAACACATTGATAGGTCCAGAAGAAAGAACCTCTGAGGAGCCGCATGGAAGCAAGGGAGTATTTGTCATTATTGAGTGCTCGAAGGCTACTGAAAAGAAGGAAACTTTACTAGACATTATTTCTGCTGCAGAAAAACCTGGAATATTGAACGATCAAGTACTGAAAATCCTAGTTCAGTGGTCAGCAAGGTACTGGGAAGGAAGGGACGCAAGAATGAAGCTAAATGGCATGGCTATTTTCTTACTCCCCAGCTTGAGGACAAGGTTGTCCAAAGGGGGGTGATGAATATTTTAATAACGTGTAAAAAGGAAGTGGGTTGGGCCAAGTAATTAGTTAGATTGAGAAGAAGCCTCATTGGAAAAGAATAAATAGTAGGAGTAGAAAAGGGAGAGAAGGTAGACTTGGATTTTGGGGGAAATTAGGATCTGGGAGAGATAGGGGCCCTTTCGAATTGGCATCGGCTGTATTCCTCTTGTTTTCTACAATATCAATAATATTTCTACTCCAAATTTCTGTGTACATATCACGTTTTGGTTGATTTGTATCGGTTTTAACTTGATTTGGTCGGGTTTTGTCGGCCGGTTTTGGTTTGATTGGTTTCTGTTTTTCGATTTTTTTTTCACCTAATGCGGGCCTTATATCGACACATTTCATCTTTCAAGTCCCTTCTTGATACTTAACCTATCTTTCAGGTCCTGGATTGATAAAATTCCTAATTATTGTGGCTAAATAATATACTACATATTTATAAAGCAATATCAAAAGCATCTCTGTTATACATTTAAGATCCATGGTGGTGATGTTACATTTGATACTTTGACCTAAATTGCTTGATTGCATTTTGATTTCTTCTTTAGATCTGTAACGTTGGTGCACTAGAAGTTTGTATCCCGATCATTTCATGGCAGTGAAAAAACCTTATCAAGTTTTTGTGATAGGTGATTTTGTTATTAACTTCAGAGTTGCCAAATCTAGTATCGTGTTTGTCAGTTATCAAATTATGACAATTGAAGTACCCGACATCTTAACCTGAGCCTTTTATTCAATGAATTTGAAAACAGGAACCAGATATCCTATACCAGTTTAAACATGAACATGGATTTCAAATTTTCTAAGACTGTCTCAAGCATGCATAAGATGAAAGATTATATATCCAAAAAAACATCGTATTATATAGAAGCCGTGGTACTTAGATACCTGAACATGAGACACATAGGACAAGCCAGCGGCTTCAATTGTCAAGAGAAGTCCATGCAAAGACCAGATTTGCAAACCAGTGATTGAACTTTTAGCAAGAGAGGACAGTGAGTTCACAGTTGCAGGCACTAAACTTGACAGCGCCATCCCCCCTGCACTGCAACCAAGATCAACAGCATTCAGTCTTCCACAATTCAGTAGAACAAATACATAAACAAGAAATACAAGACCAATACAGTTACTCGACTCAATAAAAAATTTCAGATTTTAATAAAATGCATTCACAGCAAAAGTTCAGTTCCCTCCCTGTGGTAACTTAACTGGTTTTGTATGTTATTCGAAAACCTGTGTGTGGTTGAATATTTGACACCTAGTGCCAATGGAATATTTGACATTCTCATCTCAAAGATTTCTTGATCTTCTTTTGTTGGCTATAATGATTGGCTTGATTGGTAGCATGATTGATGGACCGATTAGGGAGTACCAATAATTACTGTTTATGTTATTATGCACTACTTGTTATGCTATAAATACACAACTTCTCTTAGTAGAGAAGCCACCGGAGAACATTAGAAATCTGAGAAACTCTTTTGCTGGACAAGCCAGCAAGAATAATTCTTGAAGGCCTCTTTACTACATCAATTTTGAAGGGGGGAAAGGGACAAAGTTATCAAGGCCTTCATGTCACTGGACTACCTGCGATGAATGCAACCAAGTGCAAGGGCAATTGATGCAGCATAATGTGAATCTGCATTGCTACTTATGTCACCCAGGAATAATCTTGTCTGTGATAACAACAGCTAGTCAGTTCACAACATCACTATGCACGAAGGTGACTCCAACATAATGTTTGAAAGTCGGCAACACAAAATAAGCCCGTCAGCAATCGCTACCCCCATAGAAAGCAATTTGGTATGGAAAATTAAGTAGCAAAATCTTGAAATTGTTAGTTTTTTAATATGAAATTGTTTTCCATCACTTGCCATGGAGCCAAAGATTCATTATTTTTTGGCTTGAGAATATGACGGAATAAAGCAAAATGGCTCACCAAACTGTCTGCTCTTCTTTGTTATGAAGCAGCAGTCAGTCCATGCAATTTTGGACGCGATTTTCATTATGGGTCATCCGGAAACAGTCTCTCTGTGCATTAGTACAGGGGTAAGACTGCGTACATCCGACCCCCCCTTACCCCACCGTAGGTGGGAGCCTTTGCGGCACTGGGGTAAATGATTGATTGATTGATTGAAGGTTTGCATGCAAACTTTACGGAAACCAAGTAGAATGCTTAGGAATCACATTCTAACCAATTTAGCAGTGAATACATCATTCCCAAGTCGAGCTACCAGACCAAGACATTCTGACAAGGCTCTGCGCTGAGATGCGCTAATATCACCCTCAGACAAAATCATCTGTCAGATTGCACAGAGGTAAAAGAAACAAATTATAACGAAGTATGAAAAGCAAAAGCAAGAACATGAATAGCAGAAAACCTGAAAAACAGACTGTGCTGCAGTAAGAACTTCCAGTCCTAGGGGCTCAGGACGTAATGCAAGCAATTCCTACACCAGCATATCAATTTGAGTACAAGCTACTATAAATCTGCTATGTCCTAGTTAAGTGAGTAAGAAAAACTTCAAAAAAATGAGATAGCTAAAGACAACCTTTAATCCAGCTAGTAACCCAACGCATATATTAGTGACATTAGCAGAATGCCAAGCTTGTTTCTTTCCGGCCTTCAGGCATTGCTCAACCGTGCCAATAAGTGAGAGCATGCCCTTACTATCCTGGGATGAATATTAAGCTTTGAACTGACAAACAAGCAAGGCTTCCACCATGGACACATGATATGAGCTTAAAGTCAAACTATGAATCAAATTTACTGATTTGCCTACCTGTGAAGCAAACATGGTTCCGAAAGAGAGAAGCATTTGATTTACCAACAATTTTCCTATTGTCTCCGGCTTCAAGGACAAATGACGGATATTAGAATTTCATTGTATGTAAGCAAGTGTTGCAAAATCTGAAATGACACAAAAAAGGCTGGAATCAGGTAAGGATGATGAAGGGATGGTTTACCTGAGGAAAACTAGGAGGTTCATTCTCCCAAACACAAGGCAATACACCATCTCTTCCTCCTTGGAATGAACGAAGTTCATCTTCAAACCAATCTCTGTTGAATTAGCATAAATACGACAATCATTTAGGCATATATTCAAATGTGTGTGTGTGTGATAGAGAGCAAGGAGGGGCGGCGGACGCAGACCCGAGCCCCTGGGCGTTGCTGGTCTACCGTGGGCGGGGACGGGCTTGAGCCCACCTTCGTGGGCTGGCTTAGCTATTTTAATTAGCTTTAATTAATTCCTTTAGTTATTTCATTTTATTATGTTTCCTATTTTAAGTATGTTTCCTAGTATGATTTAGTTAGGACTTCTACCTTAATTAGAACTAGTAGGCTATTTATACCCCGAGTTAAGGTTATCCGAACAATTCATTAATCAATAAAGTTGGTGTTTAGGCTTTAAGCTTGGGCAACAGTTGCTACCGTTGATTATTAATTTTCTACTCTCATCAGTGTGTGTGCAACAGAACCACATGAGCATGATAATGAAATACTTTTGCCTATAAAGGATAAGGGAAAAGTTCACATTCACAGGAAGAGACCTTCCGGGGTTCCAAGGACCCAGCCACGCATCTCTCTTGTCTAGAAGCATGCGCAAGCACGAACTCTCCTCAAATTTAGATGCTTCTCTGTTGCAACTCCAATACAAATGAAGATACAAATTAGCCATACATTTAGTATTCTCTAAATAAGTCCGGCTTGAAGACAGTTGCAAATGAACTAAATTAAATGGTAGAATGGCTGCTTATGCATCAAGAAAATGGTTAATTACCTAAAAGGTGTTGTGCAAATATGAAGAATACGAGCATGATCACATTTATATGCATTTGGATCAGAAAGAGACTGATATGCTTGCAGTGACTTGATGATGAATACATCCACTCCAGGTTTTGCTTTATTGTAGTCTACAGTTGTTAACTGCAATATGTAGGAGAGAGCCCTGCTTCGGCACATTTCACCGTCCAGAAAAATCAGTTGAAAAAAGAGCGAATTGTTAAAATTTCTTACAAGTCCTCCAGCCCATAATCTATGACACACAGAAACTCTTGGGAAAGAGTGTCAAAACACTTTGGAAACCGCAACAAACAAAAACTGTTCTTGAACATATCACAACCACTTTAGCAGGAAACTCATCCGAAAAATGCCTTAAGGAATATAATTTCTGGAAAATGACTTTTTTCAAGAAATATGGGAGTGTTTGCAAAAACTTTAAAAAAGTGTTTTTCAACTTTGGGCTTAAAAAAGTTGAAATGGAAGTTTTCAAGTGACAGTTTTTACTTAAAATAAGCCCTTAAAAGCTAAAAGCTAGAGGTAGGTGAAGGGATGCTTTAAACCGCTTTTCACTTTTCCTATTACACAAAAAACACTTTTCACCAAACACTATTAACTTTTACTATCATCTTTTACTATAAAGCACTTTCTCTAAAAGAGCTTTTTTAAAGTAGAAGCAATCGCAAACTCCCTAAATTTATTTAGTTTCAGGCTGAAAGTAGGAAACCAGTTTTTTATGGTGGGTTCATTTTCCAGGAAATTGAACAAAATATGTCATACCTATTTCATAAAAAAAAATGAGTTACAAAAAATGAAATATATAATTAACATAAATATATATAAGTATTTATAACAATAAATTTTGGATATGTATGAGGATTGTACAACAAGTGTCCGTACAAGTGTAGGACTGCCGAGTTCCCTAATACTATAGGAGTACACCAAGGATCGGCTCTGAGTCCTTTCTTATTTGCTATAGACATGGATAGACGACGAGGATGGTGATGGTGGTGTAATGACAACGAGGATGATGATGGTGGTGTAATGACAACGATGATGGGAGGTTGGTTTATGATGATGATGGTCATGGTATTGATGGCTGGATTGGAAATGGTTGATGGGAAAGTGGTGGGGACATGGGGCGATGAAGGTGATAGTAGCAACAGTTCTAGTGATTGTATGGTGATTATAGCGGGGGTGGCAATGATGATGAGATTGGATGAAACAATGGTAGTGCACTTCAGAAAGCATGAGCTGCATGTGTCGGACACCAAGGATGTTTTTACTTGGACTGTAATTTGCTGGTCTGGTCTGAACTGGTCTGGTCTGATTTCTTTGTATTTTTATAACTGTCCAAGTCTGGTCTGGTCTGATCTGGTCAGGGACAAATTACAGTCCAAGTAAAAACATCCCAAGGGGACACAATAGATGATTCTTTACATGAATGAGGTCTGCTTTAAATAACTCTAAAATAATGGAGAAAACTACTAAAGTGTTGAGTAAACAAAAACCTAGATCTCTATACCCGGATTTCAATCTTTAGCTTCTGGCTTCTGCTGATATTTTATTCTTGATCATAAAACTTGGAATCTCTTTAAACATTATATGAATTGTGAATTTTATAATACACACATACTATCATACTTACACATTACACACACATACACACTACCCTTCCTCCCACAGTGTTTTACCTCCACTAACAGTCCCAACCACACAAGTATAAAGAAAACGAAAAATGTGTGGTTGAGGTTGTTTAGAAGAGATAGAAACTATGTAAGTCACAAAATCATTTCTGTAAAGAAAAATGGCAAAGTTTTTATGGAAACCAAATTATGAAAGTTGGCAAGCTTTTAGAACAGGAGCATACTTAAATGCAATGAGTTTCTCAGCAAATTCTTGAGCAAGTTTAACGAATCCGGAGTGGATTTGTCGTTTGGAGCATAGGACAAATGCACTGAACGGTGTAAAAATGCACCTCCTACTTTCTACTTTTAATTCCTTAACAAATGCCCTAAGGTCGTTGGTTAGCAAGACCTGTGTGCACAAATGAAGAAGTAAAACAATTCAAGAGATCTAATGTTTTTACCTACTAAGATATAGTTGCACTGGTTGAAGTAAGATCCCCTTGTTCACATCATGAGGAGAAAGAAAGCATTTTACAAACACAGTCAGTGCATCCATTGCAGCAGACCATACACTACAGAAGAAAATAAAACCGAGGTTCATTTACATCAAAAGAATTTCGACTGAAAATCTGCATTAACAATAACCGAAAAGATAATGGAGCAGAAAACAGTGCAACAAAGAAAGACGAAGGCAGATAAATGGTTTAAAACAACTAACTTAGTTTCTCCTAATAGATGGCTTCTAGACAGAAGCAACGTAACACTCTCTTTGAAGGGTCAAGGTCCCCCACAAAGCACTAGAGCTTGACATAATCAAGTTCTGAGTCAATTCTTGTACGTAAAGTCGTAAATACATCAAATGATATTGGTCTAATTAAAAAATGTTTTGAAGAAGCCTAAGATCAACCTTCTCAATTCAATAAAAAGTATCTTAATGCTTCACAATGCAAATTGTAATTGATAGATAAAGAGTAAGGTAGGGATGGATATAACCAATTCACAATCTACAAAAAAAAAATCTTACAGATAACAGGTGGCCAATAAAATTTAGGAGAGACTATTCAAAAAGAATAAAAATGAATTCCAGTCTATAAAAGTCAAATCGTTATTCACCATTTTTCCTGCAGACCATCAAATCCCAGGGCTTAAAAGTAGATAAAAAATGGGCAGCCCGGTGCACTTGGCGTCCCTGCAAGGCGAGGGTCCGAGGAAGGGTCCAACCACAAGGGCTTAAAAGTAGATCATCATCATCCCAGTGCCGCAAAGGCTCCCACCTGCGGTGGGGCAGGGGGGTCGGATGTACGCAGCCTTACCCCTATACTAAAGCACAGAGAAACTGTTTCCGAATGACCCAAAGTGAAAATCGCGTCGAAAATTGCATGGACTAACTGTTGCTTCATAACAAAGAAGCGCAGACACAGTGAGCCATTTTGCTTTATTCCATCATATTCCCAAGCCAAAAAATAGTGAGTCTTTGGCTCCATTGCAAATGATGGAATTAAGGGCTTAAAAGTAGATAACAAGTCATAATTGTTTTTAATGTCCAAGTCCTGCAACCTTGGAATTCAAATGGAAGAAAACAATATACATTTTCAAAAATTAAACCTAAAAAACTTTAAGGTGTGTGTTATAACATCGTGCATTTATCGCTAAAGTCAACCCGAAAATGTTTCAAGGACATAGTAGTGGTGATCTTAAGATGTAATACACACATTTGACATCAGCATAAAATGCAAAATTTAATAATTAAGAAGATTAGCTAACCATAAATTGGATGGCAAATCTACTATTTCACTTATATGGTCCTCTGGATTTCTGCTGAACACAGATGCCCATAGAGAGAGAATATCAAAAACCTCATCTTCAAGCTCCTGCATCCATCAACGTGAGCTTTAAGAATAGCCATACAAAACCTTCACAAATGTACCACAGACATTTGATACCTGTTTTGGCATGGAAGACAGAAGTGATGATAAAAGCATCCATCCAGCTTCCTTTTCAACAGCAGCAGAAGTAGGGTTACTACTTGATTCTAAGAGCATTTTCTTGGAAACTTCAAGAACAGATTTGGGCATTCTGGTGTTATACAAAACACCTTATCAATATACCTCACTCAACAAGGACAAGAGAGCATAACCAGAGATAAATCACTTATATACAAGTATCAAAGTGGTAATATATGATGACAGCAGAGATTAATGTGGAGGAGAAAAGAGGTTGAGAGTTGACAAAGGTAAACAAATACCTAGCTGGATAGCCAAGAGGTGATTTTGGAGAAACAGAAACCAAAGCCGCCAAAACTGCAGCTTGACCATTCAGACAGTCTAGTTCAGCTTTTAAATGAGTCCCCTACATCATAATGCAAAGTAGCAATGATAGAATAAATTACCCACACCAGTATAACTGTATAAGGTAAGCCTGACAAAATTGGGGGGGATTATAGAATGATGGGAAATCCATCTCTGGAAGCATGTATATGATAAGACTAATACGTAGTACATATATGAAAAGCAGAAGAAACTATTTGAGAAAAAAAATCATAAACAGTCCGTCTCAGACTCTAAGAGATAGCAATGGTTTTCTAAATACTGGAAAATGATGCTTTGCAATCTTTGTGCAGGTCCAGAAATACTCCCTCCGTCCCATTCATAGGTTCCCACTTTCCTTTTTTGGATGCCCCACTTAAAGGTTCCCATTTTCTATTTTAGGAAACAATTAACACTCTTAAATAACAATTTAATCATCAAATATTAAAAATAATACATCTATAACATAACAGTTAGTCAGTTATCATCAATAACCCATTATATTATATACCTATCAAAATTATTTCTCAAAATATACTCGAATAAGCATGTTTAACTATTGTCTAAATAAACATGCCATTTTGCAATGAGAACTTTTGAATGGGACGGAGGTAGTAGGTTAGAAAAGGCTGATGAGAGCTACTAGCACAAAAATGTGAAGAATTCTAGTTTACAATATCATACATGATATATAGGTTATTAAGGAAAGGTGCAGCCCTAAAAAAAACAGTTTCTGAGTGAAACTACTGTTTTGTGTTTACCTTCTCAAACAAAATATTCTCTCTGACAGCACTAAGCACAGTTACTGCATAAGAAATCAAACCACCTATACAGGTAGGATCAACTTCAGCAAGTGCACGCAATGCCAAAGCAGCCTCAACACGTACCTATGAAGTGCATAGGAGCCAAAATGGTATTAAAAGAAATCGGATAAATAGTTTTAGCTACTGAGAAATCAATCAAAAAAGTGTGAAGGTTACTTGGGGTGACTGATTAGAAACCTCTGCAATAACAGTTTTATCAAGAACTTCCTTGAACTCACCTGGCACCTGAATATTGAACATACTTAAACACAAATTGTAGGAACAAACGTGTTGGTGCTGGTTGGCATTTTGTTCGCTAAACAAAAAAACTCACATGCAGATTAAAAAAATTCCTAGCCAAATAGCAGTGACCTACATTTTCATTTTGTTGTTCTGATGAGGAATTGTAAATCTTGTGGACTTCCTTTTAATGTTTATTACAGTGGCTGTCTGTATGTGGCCTTAACCTGATCTTAAGCATTAGCAGTGCCCACTTTAGCCTATCAGCAGTTAATTTAAATTTACACATATTGTCCTAAATAGGAGTAAAAACAATGTGATATTCCAAAATAGAAATAAATGTTTTTCCCTTAAATTTGAATATTATTGTCCAGCTTGGAAAGTATCGCCAATTATGACATTAATACTGCATATTAATGTCGAATAATGTCAAACATGACAGTACGTTTTGAGGAAGACAGTAATTACTCATATGTAGGGGGGACAAAGTACCCTTATTTTGGGATTTCGCATTACTTTTACTCCTATTTTAGAAAACTTCCTTTAAATTTATGAACAAGCTAATCCCACTAATGGACAAACATGCAGCCCCTTGTCGACCTCCACTACTCCCAAGCTGAACAGAAAACAGCACAATATTAAACCAAAAATTATGTGTTAACTGTAAACCAGTTCTGCTGCTCAAACTTTATGTATAGCACATATGCAGTACACTCTATTTCACTCAAAGGGCACACTTCACTTTGCTTTTTCCTTTGGTGTATATGTATGTATGTTTTACAGCTTTAGTTTCTCTCATTCCTCACATCTCCTTCTCCTGTTTATAACAGTCCAAAGTCCAAACTTGTAGACTTAACAATTATTTAAGGTGGGATTTTCTATCAATATTTCAGTTAGATTCGCTAAAAATGTAGGATATGTGGCTAGAAGATACCCTCGTGCAATAATGCAATTATAAAAAATCAACACAAAAACTGATTACTTTCCACCTTAACAATATTAATTAGTGGAAAGAGTAAGAAAGAGAGCATAATAAGTCTTAAGAGAGCAGAGATTCAGGCAAAAAACATGTAGACCCCAAAAACTATTCTTCACCTCGCCTAGTGTCTTCAAAGTATAAGACAGAGTGCGTAATGTAGCAACTCGCATTGAAGAAGTAGCATCAGGTGACTGAAGCTGCAGACTAGGTACCATAAGATCATCTAAAATGAATGATATAGGTAATGACAAGTTAAATCTAGTAAATGTAACAATAAAAAACCTGTTCACTCATAACAACCAAAAAACCACTTTGAGTAGCTTCGCGCATTTGATCTGTTATACCAACTCGTAGAATGTAAAGGACACATGCCTTCAAAGAAACAAGGTAGACACCTTAGAAACTAAATAAACTTGCAAACACTACTAATATATCAAAGAGCTGTGGAGTACTGGATGATTGTGGATGATTTAGCTAGTATGCATAATGCTTTTGTATTACCATGGAAATGAATGCTAAGGGAAAGAAGACATCCCATAAACTAAAAACATCAATTGCCGTTCTGGATAGTTTACACTGAATGAAGAGCTGAAACTTGGAATGTTGGAAGCCTAGCAAATTTAACAACTGGATATATGTACAGCTCTAAATAATACAATTTTCAGCCAGCCATGGTTTAATATATTTTGTCCAGTTGAGATGACAAAAGAGTGAAAAACTCATTAAAAGGGACAACTATTGTGGTAACACGCATAGCACTGCTCTTAAAATTATACTGTAATAAATAATCAGTCAGAATATTATTCAAGCAATGTGTCATTCAGAATGTGTCACTTGCACTCCCTTAAAAAATGACATAAAATAAAACTTCAACCGGTCAGATGATTGTGGCCCTCCAATAAAACCACGCCTAAAATTGAAGTGTCAGATTGGAAGAAACATACTACTGCTTGAGCGTCAAAAGAATTGTCTGCACGAAGCATTTCCATAGCTTGAGTGGCGAACTTATCAAGCTCGCTGTCAGGTAGAGAATACTTCATACGAATGTCCTGCAAAATAAATGTTGAGTCTTATTTGAAGTGGCTTGTTTTCATTTATTATAAAAGAGAGAGCAGCTGAACTGCAAAAGTGCATCTGCGGAAGAAGACGTGACAACTTGGAAGGGAATATGCATGCTTCGGTACAAGGATACTTTCAGCATATCTGCACCAATAATCAGATTTGCTGAACTTTTTACTATAGGAAGCCTTACCGCAAAAGCTTACGGCCCTCAAAAAGATTATTTGGACTTGCTTGAAGTAAGATTATCACTAGAGTTACTTCTATGAGCAATTGCGAGGAGTTTATCATCATCATCAATACCCCAGTGCCGCAAAGGCTCCCACCTATGGTGGGGTAAAGGAGGGTCGGATGTATGCATTCTTACCCCTGTACTAAAGCACAGAGAGACTGTTTCTGAATGACCCAAAGTGAAATTCATGCCAAAATGGCATTGACCGACTGTTGTTTCATAACAAAGAAAAGGAGACAATTTAGTGAGTCATTTTGCTTTATTCCATCATATTATCAAGCCAAAAAATAGTGAGTTTTTGGCCCCATTGCAAATTGCGAGGAGTTTATCAGGAAAAAAATGAAGTAGCTTTTGAATGCCAGTTAAATTGAGAAACCCATATAAATTGTGAAAATCATTTTGATTATGTAAAAAGCTTGTGTCAGATGGTCTTAAAATTATACCATATTAGAAAAGCAACAGGAAATGAAATGAATAAGGTGAATTCTCATTACTGATAATAGGCAGTACAAGGGGTTTATATAGTACAGAAGCTTAACAGAAATGTAACCACAATAACTAGCTCTAACAGACTAACTGTCATTAGGCTATTACAAGAGTGTACGTATTATTATTCCTAAATCCTAACAGCAAAAAACAAGATTATATGTAAAAGATTGTGAAAGATAAAGTTTTTTCTCCGATTGCCAAAAAAACTTTGTCAGATTGTTCATCTCACTAATTGCCACGTGTGATTGGCCCTTACACAAGTAGGATATTAAGAACACATTCCTACATGGTAACCCTTCTAGAGGAAATCTACATGGAGCAACCCCCGGGGTTTGTTCCTCAGAGAAAGTGTGGGAAGTTTTGCAAACTTCAAAAAATCATGTAAATTCTCAAACAAAGTCCTTGTGCCTGGTTTGGCATGTTTACTCACACAGATAAACATTTTAGATTAGTAAAAGGACAATCATATCATTCATGGTATATGTTGATGATATTGTAATCATAGACAGTGATACATCAAAACTTTCATCTCTTAAGGCATCCTCCAGTCAATTCCAGACCAAAGATCTCGGATCATTGAAATATTTCTTCCATGTTGAAGTCCTATGATTCCCAATGTACAACTCACACAAGAGTCAAGATGGAGTCTCATTTGCTGATCCTCAGAAATATAGAAGATTGGTTGAAAATTACATTATCTCACAGATACTCATCCAGACATTACTTACTCAGTTAGCATCATGGGTCAGTTTATGGCTTCCCCGACACTTGATCATTTGTCTGCCATAGAACATATTTTGGGCTACTTAAATGGAGCACAAGGACGTGGTATTGTGTACCAGAAACACGGGCACAAGGATAACATAATGTCTACTGTAGTCTATTGGGTTTTCATTGGTGGCCAATTAACTCCCTCCAAGAGTTAGAAGCAAATTGCAGTTTCTCTTTCAAGTGCAGAATCAGAATATTGAGCCAACGCAGTCTGCATGTATATAAATTGGATAAAACACCTATTGAGAGAAATTGGGATGATAGCACCAATGCCTTCAAAGTTGTGGTGTGAATGTGTGATAATCAAGCCGTTATACACATTGCATCCAATCAAGTCTTTGATAGGAACCCACTTATTAGACTTTTAATAATAATAATAATAATAATAATAATAATAATAATAATAATAATAATAATAATAATAATAATAATAATAATAATAATAATAATAATAATAATAATAATAATAATAATAATAATAATAATAATAATAATAATAATAATAATAATAATAATAATAATAATAATAATAATAATAATAATAATAATAATAATAATAATAATAATAATAATAATAATAATAATAATAATAATAATAATAATAATAATAATAATAATAATAATAATAATAATAATAATAATAATAATAATAATAATAATAATAATAATAATAATAATAATAATAATAATAATAATAATAATAATAATAATAATAATAATAATAATAATAATAATAATAATAATAATAATAATAATAATAATAATAATAATAATAATAATAATAATAATAATAATAATAATAATAATAATAATAATAATAATAATAATAATAATAATAATAATAATAATAATAATAATAATAATAATAATAATAATAATAATAATAATAATAATAATAATAATAATAATAATAATAATAATAATAATAATAATAATAATAATAATAATAATAATAATAATAATAATAATAATAATAATAATAATAATAATAATAATAATAATAATAATAATAATAATAATAATAATAATAATAATAATAATAATAATAATAATAATAATAATAATAATAATAATAATAATAATAATAATAATAATAATAATAATAATAATAATAATAATAATAATAATAATAATAATAATAATAATAATAATAATAATAATAATAATAATAATAATAATAATAATAATAATAATAATAATAATAATAATAATAATAATAATAATAATAATAATAATAATAATAATAATAATAATAATATAATAATATAATAATAATAATAATAATAATAATAATAATAATAATAATAATAATAATAATAATAATAATAATAATAATAATAATAATAATAATAATAATAATAATAATAATAATAATAATAATAATAATAATAATAATAATAATAATAATAATAATAATAATAATAATAATAATAATAATAATAATAATAATAATAATAATAATAATAATAATAATAATAATAATAATAATAATAATAATAATAATAATAATAATAATAATAATAATAATAATAATAATAATAATAATAATAATAATAATAATAATAATAATAATAATAATAATAATAATAATAATAATAATAATAATAATAATAATAATAATAATAATAATAATAATAATAATAATAATAATAATAATAATAATAATAATAATAATAATAATAATAATAATAATAATAATAATAATAATAATAATAATAATAATAATAATAATAATAATAATAATAATAATAATAATAATAATAATAATAATAATAATAATAATAATAATAATAATAATAATAATAATAATAATAATAATAATAATAATAATAATAATAATAATAATAATAATAATAATAATAATAATAATAATAATAATAATAATAATAATAATAATAATAATAATAATAATAATAATAATAATAATAATAATAAGTAATAAGTAATAAAGGTCTAGGAGGATTCTAGTATAAATAGATTGGAAGGGGGAGTTAGCAGTAGGCTTTTGGACTTAGGTCTTGGGACTGGGAAGATTGAGAATTATTTCTCTCTCTTTAGGGGCTTCGGCTCATCTGGGGGCTTCGGCCTTATTACTGTTCTCCTTCTGTAATTGATCTTCTTCTTCAATAAAGATTTTCAGATTGTTTCATTGTTAATCTTTCCGTATAATTGCTCTGGATTTCTTGGGGTCTCTATCAGTCTTTCATGAAAGAATATACATAAAGGTCTAATTTCCACGAGATATATGAAATCCGAAGAACAACTACAGGACTTACTTACCAAAGCACTAAATAGGGTCACGTTGATTATCCATGTAACAAGTTGAGAATGATAAATATATATATATATACATACATATATATATATATGTATATATATATATGCTCCAACTTGACGGGGTGCGAAGAATATTAGAATATAATTTCCTTTATTAGCATCTTTTCTATGTATTTACCTATATATAGGGACTTAAATCCTGTAATATATACACTAATAATTCTCCTTGAGATTGTCACGAATGGAAGAGTAATATATTTGAAATATAACACTAGACTCCTTGAGATTATCTTTTCAGCCAAAAGATAAACCTTTAAAAAGAAAACTGTAAAATTCGAAGTCTTTTTTAGTGTGCTACATTCTTTCGCTCGTCTCACAGACCAATAATATCCTTGAGACAGTCTCAAATAAAACCGCCCATGAAATTCTAAAGCTGGTAAGCCAAACATGGTGAATCGCTTCTTTGACCCTGTTAATAATGTCTTATAAAATAGTTGTTATCTTAACATTCATTATGCTAAAATTTCTGTATTTTTACCCATCCACCTAATTAATTGTCAAGCAAAGAATGGAGGATCAATTATAGATGATTGTTAGTCTTGGATGGGGCACAACACTATAGAGGATCACAGAGGCAGCTTTGAGGGGAGTTAGCCCACGCAGCTACCTTTGGCCTCTTTTTTTTTTTGGGGGGGGGGGCATATTTAAAAACAACTATTAGTAATACACCACTAATCTTTTAAACAAAATCTACCAGTTTGCAATTTTGAATTGAATCTGCAACTACAAATGATAAGTGGCATGCATAAAGTCGAATGTAAAGCTTCACCGCATTCGGTCCTTTACCTCTTTTGAACTTAAGATTTATTAGGAATATAGTTTGTTAGAATTATAACTAACTAACCGACTACTGTTAGTCTCTTGTATGGTAGTTAGATTCTAGCAGTTTCTATTCCTTTTCTATAAATAGAATGTAAAGTGGACTACACATCAATAATATGTTCTAATCATTTCTCCTCAATTCTGTTGCACTCTGGTTATCAATATGGTGTCAGAGCTCTGAGTTTCTCGATTATGGTTTCTTCCTCAACTACTTCCGCCACTTCCGCCGCCGGAAATACTCCATTTCCGGTGAGCTTTTCACATCCACTTCCTCTTAAACTTGATTCAAACAACTATCTCTTCTGGAAACATCACGTTGAATCAGTTCTTCGTGCTCAC